GGCAAATCACAAGCACGAAAACGCTTGCCGACTGCTGACAGCTATTACGATCTTATTTTAATCAAAATTGACAGAAGCATGCTTGGACATGCTAAGCTTGAAAAGGGTGATCGCGTGAAAAAGGCATTTAAAGATTCAAGGGAATAAAGCTGAAGAGAACCTTCCGTGACAATGAAAAACAATGAAAAAAAAGAAAGCGAAAAAAATCATAAGATGATATTATGCATTAACCACCATTGTTACTTCCAACTGCAATAGGTTTAGAAAAAAAATAAAACAACAATCGAAACAACCAAACACACCACTAACCTATTTTATTAGATTGTTCAATAATGTACTGCAACTCAATCAACAATTTGTCCACACGCCGCACAGTTGCATATTACTGGGTCAAATGTACATATGTACTACTACAACGCACACACACGGCATTGTTGAACCATATTGCACAACATGAACAAATGACAAAACATGATATATAAATGAAATCGGTTGTAAAATGGAATGAAATGACATATGTCACGCAAACACATAATAGATGTAAAGAGCAAGCTGGACTCCTTAGTTCACATAAATTTTTTTTTATAATGACAAAAGTAACACTCAGTTCATCGTTCATGACGATGATTCAAACTGAAATAGAAAGGATTCAGCGTTTCTCTGCACTGAAAGCGGAAAGAGTATAAGCTAAGGTACTGTAACGAAACGCTTATTAGATGAACTTTTTGACAGAAGAAAGGCAGGCTGTTCCCTGCGAAAATTTATCTGCGGATATATACGTGTATATGCATATCAAGCCTGTCATTGTTCACTCATTGGTTTTTTCTTTGCTATGAATCCAAGTGAACCGAAAGTGAGGCAGGTCCATCCTACTTTACTACGAGACATTTGAAGATTTTGAACCAAGTAAGCATCGAGGCACTTACTTCCCCCTTTTTGTGGTACATTAGTGTTTATCTTGATGGTTAATACAAGAAATAGATTAAAAACTTATTACATCTTAAGGGACTTGCTTCACTTTCAAATGACGAATTATATTATAATGTTCTCGACGTTAACCGCTATTCAATTTTATATCAATATTTAAGCATTTAATAAAAATATAAGGTCGACTCATAAGCAACTGGAGACTGATAACTGATCGGACAGAAGATTTTTTTTGGAAACATAGGTTTTGAAAGGAAAGGATTGAAAAATCTAAACACGAACAGAGCTAAGACAAAGATCTTTGGCAACAAACTGCTTTGGATAATGGTCTTATGGTATGGTGGCTTCTGCTAATTGAAAGACATTTTACTTCTTGAGCGGTTAAGCGAAAATTTTCCGAAAACGAGGATTTTCGGTACTTTTTTGACAGCATGTGCGGAAGTATACTCCCTAGATGCTATAAAACGATCCAGTGAAACTGCTATCCTTGCAAGCGTTTTTATCCTTCTAACCCCATAGCCAGAAGAGACGAAATGCCGACATTGAACTGATCTTCTAATTTTCCTCGAACAAAACTGTCTTCACTTTAGACTAAAAGTTGAGGCTTTCGATCGCTGGCCTGACAGATATATCGATCTTCCCCAGAAGTATTGCAGTTAAGCGGTATATGAACATGTATGTCGATCCTAAGTTAATTAATTTATTTATCCTTTTTTTTTTTTTAGGACATAACCTCAAAAAGCCCCCTTTCATTAAGATTCCTTTTTTGCTCTCTAAAGTGTTTGGTTTTCGGTTTTTTTTTTCCCCGTAAGTTTATGCAAACAATTATATAGTGACCGCGGAAAGCAAACTTCAAAATGATTTGCATGATACATGATCGCGAGGTCTGGTTAAAAGTTGTACAAGAAAAAGGAAAAACGACAAAAAAAAAATCATGCTTTATCAGTTGACAAGAGTAAACGAAACATGCAAGCAGTGATTTTCATGTTCGGCATATGTTTTGACACTCGTCGACACACTTACATATGTTTATAATTTTGTTTTTGCCTTTTCCTCTGGAAGCTATAGTTATGCAAGAATAATTTTAGGGTAAAAAAGATTTTTCTTTTTTTTTTTAAATTTTTTTTTTTGTTGCCGAAGATAAATTTCAATAAATTAACAAACAATTTTCTTAACAACATTTATAGATAGATATATGAGGCATAAATTAATTTTTTTTATTTTTTTAAATATTTTTCGCTCAACTACTGATTAAAATATCAATTTTGTAATATTTGCAAGTTGTACGACATTAAGATTAATTGCTGGTTAGCCTACGGCTAGTGAAACGGAAGCCGTCATCCCAGTTTTGAAATTATAATTGCGGTCTGAGTAAGTTATGCAAAGTGGTTTTTTGTGTTTGTGTTTACCTTTGCACACAGGCCTCCCAGTGCGAATGTTATGATAGCTAACAGACAGTGAGAAGAGAGTGTTTTCAAAAGCTTTATTGTCTTGCTTTTGCCAATATTTGTAAATAGTTTTTGTTGTCGTTTTTTTCTCATATTTTTTTTTTATCTTTTTTTTTTTATTACCCTAGAATAACAGCCGCTTGTAACGATTTTCAAGTCATTTGTAAAGATTGCAAAGTTATTACGGAAGAGACGACGTATCGCTTGAGGTCATCCTTCTACCGCCTGAACAAACACAAAACGATATTTTCCGACAATGAAAGAAAGCAAAAAAAAAAAAAAAAGAAAAAGCAAAGAAGAACACATTTCTCTTCTTCACTAAAGGTGTTAGTTATTAGTGTTCGGCAATTTGCTGCAGGCATTGCATGATCGATGCAAAATAATCTATAATCGTTAGATGCATTTGAGATTAACGTTGAAAAAAAAGAAAAAAGAAAAAACGAAGCACTTGCAAGTACCACATAACTAATTTTAAGAACCGTTATTGTGTAATCCAGCCCATTGCTATGCACATTTAATGATGATTGGCGCTACGTGCTTTTCAGCATACACTGTCTCCTGCAAATTTCTCTTGCAATAGTTTTCATAGCAAAAACGTAATCCCCTCCAGCTGAACACTTATCCGAAAGGCTTGACACTCGCCGACTTCTTTCTCCTTGTGTGACCACCAAACGGTTTGGCTTTATTCATTCTTTACTCATACTATTACTAAGACTTTTTGAAGTTTGTACCTACTGCCTGTGATCTATTAATGTCATTTCGCTTACCAGTTTTACTTTTTTAGCTCTTCTGAGAAGTTCTTCACTGCTTACTTACATATCTCGATCTCCTGTTCATTTTGGTCTTTGATCCCGTTCTTTGATTTTTCTTTTTATTTTCTTCTTTTCTCTTGGCCCACCAGACTATCACGCCCAATTTAGTCGATCTTCGAACTAACTCGTCTTCAATTTTTAGTAGCAAAGTTAAAAAACCAGTGAGAAATAATTAGTCTTCTATAATTGGACGGGACGGATGTATAAGTTTCTTTGAGTTTGGTGACTTGCGAAACTATCTCCCATAAGAAATGTAAAAAAAACTTTAGCGTAAGTTAACTCTCTCAGAGATAGTTGCTTCACACATTAACTAGTCCAGGGCCACTCTTTACCCCTTTCTCTCTTTCTTCATATACTTCTAGCCTTCACCGTGTTACAACTGTGTGGAAATATTCCCTTAGTGATTGGTTGTATTAAAAGAAAAAGAATAGACCGCAATTTGACCGATAGATATTTCAGAGCTTCATCGTATTACATCTAAGGGGGAGCATCCCCTCAGTGATTGTTTATATAATTACACCACAGACTGATAGATATTTCGAAATTGATTCAGTGGTTCACGCTGGCTAGAAAGCATATAACAACGGTCAACAGCCCAAGAGTCTGACACATATTTGCCATCTCTAAGAAAAAAATGCACATCATCTTTAGAAAGTGCTCATGCACTTCCATTATTTGTTCAGTGACTTGGAATATTTTTTGCGGCACTTACTTTTGTTATTTTCAAATCCAAACTTGGTGTGTTGACTAATAAATGCTCTTTGAGGCGTAGACGAAAATGCATTCATATCCTGCATAGTTCTTGCAATTTCTCACCAACGAACATATGCTCATCGGAGTCGTACAGATGCCGATATCAACCAGCGAACTTATTGGACGCCGAACAGGGAGGGTTGCAAAAAATCCTCAAAGATTGTATTCGATAAGCGAAAAATACTGTTACGAGAGATAGTTGGCTGACAACCTAAGGACTACAAAAGGCAAGCTCACGTTGGTCGTGAGAAGACTGTTTCCCCAATGAGTAAAACGTTTACTCGCAGTGGAACAAATTGTAATACGATGTTCGCAAGTCGATGCGTACATAGGCAATATTGCTGCTTCACCTACCATTTTGTTCAGATCTGGTTACCAGTGACTGTTATTTTTTTGCTTTTTCTGAAGAAGCTCTAGCAAGAAGTGATGAAATCATTACGGAAACTTTGACATTCTTGGCAAATTGTTCTATAACAAATGCATCGAAATATCAGAGAAACTTGCAACCGATTGTAATACTCTTGAAGGAAACTATATTGATGAATAAAGCCTACATCTTAAAAAAAAAGTGTCTTCTGAGTTAATTCTGGGACTAATGTACGCTCTGCGGCTTCCTGCCGACCTCGACACCTTATAATAGATCAAGGAGAGTTCTGGGAGAAGTTTCTTTTTCTTTTTGATCTTGTCTATATAGTCAGCCTATAGAGGCTGATAATATGAGAAGTTAAGATTAATCGAACTTCGATGACCTAAGAACTTGCGTGGACACTTTCGCACTGACGGACTGCCGGACGCAGGGGTTGGGAATGGTAGCAACAATTCGTGGTACGATATGAAAGATCCGACAATAAGTATAGCCCATCTAGACTGTTTACTTTCCGCTTTGTTGAATCATTCAAAAGTACTACTGTTGTCAGCGGATCACGAAAAGTTTTCTTTTCATTCCTTTTGGCCTTCCTCCGTCTTCCTAAAGGTAGGAAAGACTCTTTCGGTTGTTTTGTGATAGTTGTCGTTACCGCAAAACCGCTAGAGCGGTGATTAGGTAAAATTCAGCCTGAGCTCATCCTAACACTTCAGGAGGCGTAAAACCTCCTAACCATCCCTCATTCTTGTGGACGCTGGTAAACGCTTCGTATCGGGCGCTTTGGAATGAAACATTTTCAACGGAGATGTCCACGTTCAACTTTAGAGCAAATACATCGACTGTGTGATAAAGAGCGATATTTATCATTGTACCATATTCAGGTCGACGCGACAGTTCTGACATAGCCGATGTAATAAACGTTAAGTCTTTACTACTACTTTGCTTTGCGCGTATGCATGTTTTTTTTTTTCTTTTATTTAATATTTAAAAATTTTCGTAGATCTCATTAACGTACAGCTTTACTGTATGGCTGCTTTTTATTGGCCACTAAAACACAACCAGTTCCCCGATATAATTCGTTGAATTCTGCTTCCTCTCTAATCTTATCTCTCTTTTCGTTTAGACAATATGCCAAGTAACACTTATGCCATTCGTTGTTACGTATCTGCAAATGAAGAAATGCAGATATGAAAGAAAAAAACAAAAAAAAACATTCATTAAATCAAAATTAGTTACAAGAATTTAGAGAAAGGAGTAAAGTAAGAGGAATTAAAACGACATTAAAGACTTCACTTAAGAGAAATGTTATGTTTGCTTTGGAATGTAAATATTAATGATAATGAGAAGGAAATATTTCAAATTTCAAGCAAACAGAATTTTCTAGAAAAAGCTTTCAGGTCATATGCATGAGTTTTTACAAGCAAGTGGAGCAGGTGGAGACAATTAGTTCAGTTTTCCGGTAATTATTTCATTTTTCTTACTTTTTGTTCATAATAAATATTTGCTTGGGATGAAGTATGCAAAAAAATAGACCCTCTCCTTCACCTTAGTTTTCTCTCTATTATTCTTCGTCTTTCTGCTGTCTTTGCTTCATTTCTCTCTCTTTCTCTCTCTCTCTCTCTCTCTCTCTCTCTCTCTCTCTCTCTTTCTCTCTCTCTCTCTCTCACACACACACACACACACACACACACACATTCTTTTTATCTTTTTCTCTCTTCGTCTTCCAATACACCTGCCTACCTATTTTTTTTTTCGTAGACGCCATAGCAACGCTTTGCGAACTAGTGGACATGCGGCTCTTGGCCGAAGCCAGCCCGGAGCCGCTTTCGCGTAATTTCAAAATGACCCCTTATGGATCGATGTTCTTTGCTCTATCATCCCAAGTCCCTGGTCTTATTCATTCATATATCGCTCTCGTGTGACCTTGCTCCGGCAAATATGGCGTTTTTCGTTCAGTTTTCCCGTATACGTAAATTCAAAGATCTGAAAAGCATAATTCTCAGAGACTCCTAAGCAGGACAGCCGAAGACCGCATCGTCGTCTTCTTTGCTCGGACAGAGAAAAAATTGTCATGCCCGGAGAAAACTTGGGTTAAGAAAATATTAACTTATCTCTGTTGCCTGTATGTCCATCTGTCTACCATCTATCTATCTATCTACCTATCTGTCTATCTATCACTAATCCCTCAATCTCTCTCACTCTTAGTCTTACCTTATTTTTCTCTCTATTCTTCGTTTTCTTTTTTCCCCGCTCCTTCTATTTTTTATCTATCTGACTATCTATTCATCAATTTACCCTTCTCACACTCTCTCTTTCTCTCTTTGTTTTTTTTTTTTTCGCCAACCCTCCTCTCACAAGAAAAGCACAAAATTCTTGAAAACAAGACGGACAGGGGGCCGGACAAAAAGTGGTTCAGAGAATGATTCTGAAATTGAAAACAAGCCGCATAGAGGGGCGGACAAGCTTAAATTGATTTAGAAAATGATTTAGAATCGATCGGCGTAATAAAAAAGTGCATCTATCTTAAGTGCTTCCAGGTGCTTTACATACATTCGCAGAAACCTAAAAAAAGGCTTCAAAAAAAAAGAGGAAGAATTCTAAAAAATCCTGCATTACATCACTGTACCTTTTCTTTTTCACGTTCCTGCAAATCATTAAGTAGTTCTTGATTGTCTACGAATTGTTGTTTCAAATCCTCGGTCAACTCGTTGCGTTTTAAACAATATTCTCTTTGAGAATTCTCTAAAATTTGTTGCTAATAAAATGTTTTTATTTAAATCAGAAAATAACAAAAGATATTTGCTTATCCCTACCTCCAGCTCTTTCGTTTGCTGCTGTTTTTTCATCACATCCAAGAGCTTCTCATCTTTACGCTTTCTTGCATCCAATTGGGCAAACCTTTGACTTCTAGATAAGAACAAAAACAAATAAATAAATAAGTTTTTATTTTTCTCTTTCTTTAATTTTATTCATATGTCACTACTCACTCCGCTTGAGATTCTTGTTTCAGTTGATTACTCTGAAGAAGACACATTTCTTTGAATTCTTGAGAAATTTTCTGATTTTTCTCTTGATCCAATCCAGAGATGACATGACGTAATTTACTTTCATAATATTCTTGATATTCCTGGAATGAAAATTTTCAATTCATCTCAGTAAGCTTCTCCTCTCTTCTCTCTGTCCTCTCTATTCCATAGCTGACACGGAGAGTGTAATGACATATCTTTTTTGCTAATGCAATTATTTACAAAATTTTGCATTTCTCTTCTTACCCTTTCTTTTCTTACTCTATCCATGACCGTTACCCACATGTCTTCAATTAATTTTTCGTTTTCTTGACGCATTTTCTTTTCCTCAATTTGATATAATTGCGATTCCTTCGTTTCTAATAACAATTCTCTCGTCTGATAATGACGCCATTTCTCGCAATTTTCTCTATTGAAATTAAAACAAAAAAGGAAGAAAATTAAATTTGATCGGAACCGAATCTTTTATACCCATCACCCCATTTATCCCATAAAAAGACGAAAGATGTAAAAGAGCAAAATTTTCATTGGTCTATAATGTGGAGTGGACGCAGCTGATTTTTTCTATTTCCAAAGTAAAAGTTTTTGCCGTAAAGGCATGTGGGCGGTGTAGGCGTGTTCCTCCCAAATTCTTTTGCAAAGTTCATTCGGCTAACACGAGAGTGTTTACCACAAGTACTGCAAAGTTGCGCAAAAAGACGTATGGACAGACGAAATAGGCAGACATGTTTATGTGCATTCCATATCTGAAGCTGGCCACGAAATTATATACTTTATGGCATTTTTGAAGCTTGTCGCTGCGCGTTATAAAGGTATTGAAAACACAATTAAATTTCGATACACTGTAATATTGGGTAGGCCAAGGGTCATTTCTTTCTATTTTTGTGCACGAATGTCACAGCATCGCCCACAGAGTATGCTATCAAACTATTGTACATTTATTTGCTATGTTTTACGACTAATGAGCAACAAACCAATTTTTCATTTCTTTTGAAAAGCAGAGGTGTTCCCAGTTTACATGGCGCTATGGACATGTCCGGCGACTGATTTGGCCCATTTGCAATATCAACTTGCGTGCAAGAACTTCCAAAGCTTCGGCCAAATTTGAAGCCGATAGCTTCGTTTTTTCGGTCAAGAGAATGTTTACAACACCCAGTGCACAGAGGGACAGACGGCCTCGCTTAAGCCCATTTAGAATCTGAAGCTAAAGCTTTCTTCTGGGCATTGCAGACGTTTTGGCAAGATGAATATGTCCTTCATCCTTCGGTGATGGGTATAAAGATAATAATTTTTATATTCTCTTTCTCTCGAATTGCTTACAATTCTCTTTGCTGTTGTTTCAATTTCAATAGTTCCACTTCAGCTCTTTCCCTTTCTAAACGTTGCATATTCAACCATTCAATGCGTTTCTGAAAAGATTCCTTCACCCGTTCATTAATCAGCCAAAGAATTTCTTCATTATACTGGATATAGTCGGCTTCCAAAAGATCTCTTAATCTTAAAGTCATTATGCATTATTATTAATCGCATGTTGATATATATATATATATAACATTTAAGCATCACCTCCTTTGTCTTCTTTTTAAATTTTTTTCATAATCTTTTAATTTTTCTTGTATCTGAAGAAAAAAAAAAGGAAAAACAAAAGATAATCATTCTTCAATGTTGAGGAGAAGCGCTTACTCTTTGTTGAATGGAATTTTTAATGTTTTTCTTTTGCGTGTTCCCCAAAAATTCTATAACATCCATTCGATTGGTATTACGGTTAGCGAGAAGGCAAAAATTCAACTGTTGTCTTATGTTTAAGGCTTTATAGAATTTCAAGGTTGCCGGGTGATGAACGTAAATTGTTTGAATTTGCCATAGCAATGTCTAAGTAGTTTAATAAACGTCGCAAACATTAAATAGGTCGACCCACCATTTTGTCAAATAAACAAAAAATCTTTTAATCGCTTACGCATTTGTGTACCCTTCACCACTTGCTAGGTAAAGGTACGCTAAATCTATGTGAGTGCATGTAAGACTCACAAGGCCATGAAATAGACCCACCCTTTGTTTGTTGCCTGGTCAGTCCGTCTTGTTCTCTTGCGTTCACCCTACAGTTCCTTGTTGAAATTTTATTTATTACACCGACATATATTTTATAGCAATGAGGGACATTATTGCAAATGCTTGGAATTGAATCACATTCCCTATAATATTTGCATTAAGCAAAATGGTGTAGGATATTATGTATATAATGAGCCTTGTTTTTCTTTCCGCTATTATTCTTATATGCAAAATTTAAAAGCAAATAATGGCTCATTAACTTAATACAGTTGGAAAAATGTTGAAAAAAATAATCTGCCAACAGTTGCTAGTAATTCTACCTAGTTATCTAAATGAGAATACAATAAGCAAGTGAAAACCCTATAGTGGATTAGGGCCCAGCATTAAATACTCTATATTAACTCTCATATAGTGGCGTATAAGGGAATCAGTCTCATAAATTGCAATCTGTAGGGTCAACGCAAGAGACGATCCAGACGGACTGGTGAGTTTAGATCGATAATAAAAGATGGGTATATTTCACGGCACAAAAACCCGGACAGATAGAGGGACAATCAAGCTTAAATCGATTTAAAAAATAATTTTTTAAATCCTCGTGGGTGTTGCGTACGTACATAGAAATTTAACATACCTTTGTACCAAAAATGGTGTAGAGTATAAAAACTATAATAAATAATTCCTCTTACAGCCATGTTCCAAGCAGTATGAAAAATAGAGTAACGCTTAACATTGCTGTGAACGCATATGAACCGAACAATTAAGTGCAACAGTATATTCCACATACCCCTGAAATTGGAATACATAAAATTTCCTTTTTTCTCCGATCTCCGAAATGTTTATTCAAGTTCTAAACCCTCGCAACAATAATCGAACTTCATAGGGAATTCTTTAGGAAATAGTTAGGGGATATATATTTAACGTCTATACGTCTCTTTCTTTCTTGCGTATTTTTATGTGGATTCTACTTTTATTTCAAATTTCCCTCAATCTATCATCACATTCTCATCGAATGGGAATGTGTCTAAAAAAATGTTCTTAATAGAAAATGGAAAGTGGAATGGAAGCTTTAACATGAAGCTTGATAACATTGAATTTAAGCATACAGGCAGAAGGGAAAATGTAAATAGTTGGAGATGTTTGGGATATACAATTGTCCATTAAATCGTAGAAATCATTCCCATGCACATTGAAAGTTTTTGTTAAACTTATTTAGTTTTGATATATAGAGACAGTGTTCTAAATATTTCTTTTTAATTAGCTTTTCTGTAAACAAATTTTTAACTTTTATTAAAAAGTTTTATTTATTTATTTTCTCATTTATATAACCCAGGACTACAAATGAATCTACGACTTAAGTTCTTTAAACTAAGTTAAAATAGAAAAAAGAACTTTAAAAGTGAATAAATAAAACTGAAAGGACAAGAAAATTGATTAAATCCAGAAAACAAATTTTATATACATCGATATCTTAATCATGACTCCATTAAATGGAAACAAATTTTTTTAAATTTTTCTTACTAAAGCTTAGGCGACCCACATTTTCATACCGTACGGAGCAATTAGGTAATCTTCAAGTAATTCTACCTTTAAAAAAAAATCCTTTAAGCAAATTGTTTGCGTTCGACCTATGTCGAAACTAAATGTAACGGAAAAAGGAGGACCATATTAATACCGAGCTGTTTTCAGCCATATTTTACGAAAGTTAAAAAAATCGCTCACTAACTTCTGAAAAGTTCTTTACTCTGTAAGGTATTGATTTGTGCCCTAATAAGAAGACGAATGGAAATTTAATTCGATATAAAGAAGAATGACAACAAATTTTACCTTCATCCTAGGCGGAAAAAATGATCGCAAACATTTCCGTCCAAAACTAATTCAAACATATTATCTACCTATTGCTTGTAGTTTCGAATGTAGCTGCGCAAAGGTAAAGAACTTTGTTTGTTTAAAATAGCTAAACGGCATAATACGACAGCAATCGCAATGTTCTTAAAAAGAGTCCAACTGATTTTTGTAAAAAAGTCCCACAGAAAAAACATATCTATAACAACAGAAACTTACAAAAAAAAAAGGCAACAGCTTCTACTTCATAATATATGTTGTAATCTTTTATTTGGAACTTAAATGTTCATTTTGTACTCCTCTTTTAATGTTAATTTACTTATTTAACATTTTCTTTCCCTTTAAAGGGGAACCATAACAGCTGAAGTGACTTTATATTCCACATATTACAAACAATATTTTCCTTTTCTAACATGGTTATTTAGCCAAGAATAGAACCTTTAAACAAAATTACCTATTTCGAAGAGTTTATTATGGAATTTATTTTTTCAAAGGGGAAAAATTCCTTTTTTATTCTCTTTCATTCCCACTTCTCTCAGTGGATCGCGATTTGGAATATATTGGAAAGTAAATTAATTGGATATTATAGCCAAGTCATAAACCTTTTACTTGTTATACTATCCACATCCACAGTAAAATGTTGACATGAATGTTTATCGTTGTCTATCAATAATGAATCCCACTACTAAAAGAAGGACAGCAACTTTCTTGCTTTCGAAGCTAATATCGAAGCAACAATTAAAAGAAATTCTGAAGTTTGATTAAAACTACGTTTTGTCCCCTGCCAATAGAATAGAACGGTGGCATTTATTGCATTTATTCTCTCTTAAGAAATGTTTGGGCAAACATGATACAATCAAACAATTCTTTATACCGTTTTGCCTAACCTCTTTTCTTTTTTCTGTATGAAAGTATGTTAAAGCAATTACCAGCTTGTGAGACAATTACAAAGAGAACGTACGATGTTATATTAACATGGGTTGCGTTTGTCTGCTTTTGCATATTTTGTTTTTACAGATTACTCCTGATTTTTGTATTTGCTGTGATCGTGTGTTGCTTTTGGTTCGCTTGTACATATATGCACATATATATATATATATATATATATATATATTTCGTTAACATTAGAGGATTATGTTAGTTGAATTAAAAAATCCCCCCTTTATTTTTTGGAGAGCACACAGCTAACGGACTTACTCTCGCTGTATTTTTGTGATTATGTAGTGAAAAGCAAAAAACATGTAAAAGACAAAAAATGCTTTTTTTTGTTTTATTTTTGTTTTTGTCTTGACGTACATTTGCGCTATTGAGTGCTATGATGTATATGAGTGAGTGAAGTAGTTTCCATGCACGGCGTTGATTTTGACAGTTGAGTAACTCTTCGGTAGCATTTTTCCTTCAGTGTAAGCTATTAGGTGCCGACGACGCGATAAAATTCCAACGTCTTTAAAAAATTTATTGAATAAAAAAAAGCCAAAATAAATAAGAATTTTCTACATGCAAAAACAAAAAAAAAAAAATTCATTTATAATGAATATTACTTAACCGCTATATATTTCGTATGAAAAAACAAAAAAATAAAGAAGAAATTTGCTAAAGTAGCACTAAAGTGTAACAAAGAAATTTTATTTGTGAAAATAAAGCGAAGAAATTTTGTACAAAAAACACACATACAAACACATTTACATAAGAAATTATGAGTACTAACTAAAGAAATAAAAAAAACGCGTTTTTCGTATTGTTAAGTAAACTTATTGTTGTATATAGAAGGCAAGAAAGCAGCAGCAAACCAACGCCGCCACCATCATCAATAAATATATAGCACACATAGACGACAACGATAACAGCTAAGTGTTTTTGCTGCTAATTCAATGGATAACAAAATTGTCTTGAAAAATAAAAAAGAAAAAATGAAGAAAAATAAGAAAAAAAAAAAAAGCTTTGGTTTGGTACAATAACAAAACTCAATAAATAAAGCAACGTCAGAGCAATATGTGCTATGTGCTATGTTGACCGGTGATGGTGGTGTTGCGACTATGGCTGACTAGTTGCGGCCACTTAGCTAACTATAGATATGTTTTAATCAGCGACCGGCCGGCCGGTATCGGTTCTGTTTTTTCGTTGATTTAGTGAATGAATTAATTATTATCACACACAAACGTTATACATATTTATGTTTATATATATATATATATATATATATATATGCGTATATATATGTATATATATGTCTATATATAAATATAATTCATTTTATAGTTGTTAAATTTTATGAGCATATTTTTTTTTATTACAATGTTATGGAACAAATTCCTCAGTGTGTGAAACGTTTAACTGGCAACAAATTCCGTAGAGTGTTTGTATGTATGCATAGGTGTTTGTGTATATATGAGATTTACACAAACACAAACACACACACACACATACATACATACTGTTGGTATGGTAACATTGTTAATGGCAGTCAATTGGCTCTTGGTATATAGCGTATACACATCTCATAGCACACATCTACAATTGTTTAACTAACAAATATACATTTATATATATATATATATATATATATATATATATATGCGAAACTTAGTCGGCAAATCGTTTTGTATATGGAAGGAAAAAAAAAAAAGTCAAAAATAACAATAGCAACACAAATTTTATTAAATACAACGTGTTTTTGTTTTTTTTATTTTTTTAGTTTTTTAAAGCATCATAAAATTTTTACGTGCCCTTGTATTTACCATTTATCAATCAAGCTTTATGTGTACAAAACCAACTACAGGCGTGCATATATAACACAAAAAAAAAAAAAACAACGTGTTTAGTTTTTCTTGGGCAAGAGTAAAACGTTTTTTTTTTTTTGGTTTTAGAAATATATTTGATTTTTGGGTTTTTTTAAATCATCATTAAGAGATCATTAACCTCTGTCACCCAAAACTTGTAGACATAGACTCTGGCGAAAGTATACATAACATAAACATATAAATCGACACACACAGTTATATAGACAGCTTCGTTTGTAGTGTTGTTATTGTTTTTTTTTTTTTTGTTTTTTTTATATTATTTCGTAGTATTTTCTCTATATACAATGTTTTTAGCTCGTTGCCTATTTGTTGTAGTTGTTCTTGTACTACTGCCTTGTGTTTTTGTTTTGATTTCTCTCAATCTCTATGTAGTTCTAGTTAGTATAATAGTTTATCTCATTGCATACACATACACGATCCATACATGCATGCACGCACACACACACACACACACAGACGCGCGCGTATCTATAAGAATTTACAGTACCTTTGATTATTATGATTTAGTGGCTTGCTTTTCATTTTTTTAATCAAAACTGTTACACTCTCGCGTTTGACTGTTTTCTCTTGCTTTCTCCTCTACGAGCACAGAGTGATAAAATATGTTCCATTTCCATGTATATAAGACAAATTCTGTTAAAGTGAAATATTTTCTATAAAATTATATGCTAAGCAAAAAAATGATTTCATTGCAAATTTATTTATTTGACAATTTCCAACTGGCAATGCTACCTATGTCCTTAAAACAAAAGTTATTGTAAAGAATACTTGGTAACCCTAAAAAAGGAATATTACTTATTCATATATATATATATTTTATTATATATTTTTTTATTAAATTTTCTTTTTTTTTTTTTGAAATTCTTTTTATTCATTTATTTTGTTTTTCTTTACTCCCACATGTGTACATACGCATACCCACAAGCCAGTTGTTTGTAATCATACATATGCCATAATTCTTTACCTTTTTTGTTGTTGTGCTTCCGTTCGCGTCTTTCGTGGCCGCATATGGCTTATGTGTGTATACAGTGTTCTTTTATTTTTACTTCTCTTTCGTTTTTTTTTAATATTTTCAGAAAAGAAATTTTTTTTTTTTTTTAATGTTTACTATTTATTTATTTAGTATGTGTTTCAATGCATAAATTAAAAGAAAAAATTAATAAAGAGCAATCGTGTGTGGTGTTTATATATATTTTGTTGGAGGTTTTTTTTTTTTTTTTTTTTAAAAAATTTAAAAAAAAAAAAAAAAGTGATTGTAAACAGTAAATAAAAATAAACGAAAAAATGACTTCGAAGCATCTCATAAAACAGCAACAACAACAACAACAGCAACAACAAACATTTAATGATGGCAAACCTTTCAATTATGAGGAGCTCAACGTCATTGGCACTGGTAAGTTTCGTAATCGAGACAGAAAACATTCTTTTTTTTGCACGAATAAATGAATATTAAGGACATCAATAAGATGTAAACAAAGTTCTGAATGAAAGCCATGACTTTTGGAATCGACCACAGCATCAAGGTAAAAGATCTTATAAAATTGCCTGCCAAGTAATCGCAAGTCAAGTTAGATTTTAGTAAACGATTTTTTCTATTCTTCTCTATATGTTCTATGCTCATAAACCATAGCAAATAAATGTACGAAAATTTGATCGAATATTCTGTGGGCGATGCTCACTTTTGTGGTATTTGTGCACAAAAATGGAAAAAATTGACCACGCCCAATCAATATTATAATGTATCAAACTTTAATTGTTTTTTCAATTCCTTTATAACGCGAAGAAACAACCTAACAACATAAGTCCCATAGCCAGTTTCAAATTTGGAATGCACCTGCCCTGCCCGTCTTCCATATGTCTATTTGCGCAACTCTGTAGTATTTGCGGTAAACATTCTCTCTGTTAGCGAAAATGAAGGTATCGCCTACAAATTTGCAAAAGAATTTGGAATGGACATGCCTACAACGCCCACTTGCCTAAGCGAGAAAAAATTTGTGCTTTGAAAATAGAAGAAATCAGCTGCGCTCACTCCATAGTAAAGAGCATGAAAATTTTGTTCTTCTACTTCTTTTGTCTTTTTTTTAGGTTAGCGGGGATGAGTATAAAAAATTCATGCCCGACCGAATTTAATTTTCTTACTTGTTTTTTTTTTTTTTTATGATCTTTCTATAAATTTTTTCATTCTCACTTCTCATAAGCATGCATTGTGATGTTGCGTTATATGTTTCACAATTTAATTAGGTTATGTCGATTGTATGCCTTTATGAGTGGGATTCCCCGAGTTATGCGAGAGAGGAAAGACTTAATGTATTTTTTGCGCAATTTAGTTTAGATTTTTAAAGCATAAAATTATCTTTTATAATATATTTAATGAATTAATATTATGTAAGAGCGAAATAAATTCTGTCTGTCTGAGAGGCCGAGTAAGCAAAAAATCTCGACTAACAACTCTATGGTGCGCGGTATAGTTTTCAATAAAGCCGATGGATAGCTTAGATGCAATGGATTTTAAGACTTTAGCTTTAAAAGTTGTTCTCTGGCTAAAATAATTACAATAAGTGAAGTTTAGCGAGAATTTTTCATCTCGCACATAATGACAGAAAGTAAGCGACGGTTAAGTGATTATTGATGTATTAAAAGAATTTGACAAAAGTCATTAGTATCTGTGATTTCTGCACATGCATTTCTCAGTCAACTTATATAATACATATAAGCCATTCACGACAACTTGATATAGAGTAATCCCCCCCTATAACACGATACTCTTATAACGCGTTTCCATGTTACGCGATATCTTATTCCCCATAGAAAACGTGTGTTTTCCCCACGAGCTTTCCCACCTTATATTTCTGTACTGTCACTTATTTCAGATGGCTTCGAGAGCGAATAAACATGTAATAAAAATGAAAAGTTAAACGTGAAGCATTTGCACATAGTCTGCTATACGCGGTCATGCGAGCGCGTTTTTCTGTAACGCGAAGCTAATCTACCGTATTATGAGGACGATTACTGTGCCGCTCGTTTAATATTTACTCCTTAATGACAGAAACCAAGTTAGATTACTAAGCTCTTTATATAAAAGATCCAATCACAATCAACCAAACAGTACAATGCAGTTTAAAGAATATTCAGTGCTGATCAGTGGCAAGTGAATTTTAGCTTTAGACCAAGCTTCGTCTAAGGTAACGCAAGTAAAGAAGAAAAATCGTAATTTATGAAGATTCCCCATAATCGCAGTTTCTGATATAAATCTTAATTGTTGTTACGAAAATCCCTATTCTAGTTTCATGCTAACCAATCGATTTTGCCCAGAAAATAAATTTCCGAGAGATGGAAAAACTTGGTGCATATTCATGGCGCGGCATGCAGCTAGCGGCTGACGATAAAGATTAACAAAGAGAAGGAAAACCCAAGTGCACATTTATGGCGCGTCATGCAGCTCTCGGCCAAGAAAAAAGATTACGGAAAACACATTAATTGCGAATAACAGGATAATGATAACTTGCTTATGTAAACAGGATATTTGCGTAACAATATGTTCACTATTACGTTTAAATTGGTTTTAGTATTCAAAATGAGGTTAGCTAAGGTTAGCTTTGCAACTAGTATAGTTTATTGAAAGAAGAGTTTAAAGGCATTTAAATCTATCTATCTAATGTGTCTGAATTATTCCGCTATTACGTAATTATCGTTCAAACATGAATGCCTAACCAAACTCGGAAATTATACAAATGATCGACAAATTGCACGAATCGACGATTTGCAGACGGACATTGGTATAGTATTAGTAATAGTATTAGACAGACAGACGGATTATAGTATTTTTTGAGACGCACATGATTTCGCACAATTATGGTTTTTGGTTTCATTAGTTTAAAAGTGGCGAATTCTCGATGTTATTGACAGAGAATGGTCTGATGAGCGAAAGAAGTTTCAAAACAATGAATTGCAAAACTTATTGGACGAAAGACCAGACCAGCACAAACTCATAAAGGACTTTCCGGCAGTTTAGCAGTTGATGAATCAACTATTTCTAAATGTTTACATGCGTTGGGAAAAATCCAAAAAGAGAGAAAGTAGCTACGATGCGAATCCTTTTAATATCGCGGTTTCATTGCTTGCCGGGCAAAAAAGAGAAAGAGAAAGAGAAAGAGAAGAGAGAGAAAAGTGGAGTTTGTGGCAAACAATGAGAAATGGCTTTACTATGACCATTCCAAACGAAAACGGTCATACGGTTATCCAAGAAATCCATCCACATCGACACCGAAGCGGAAACTTCGTGGTCGTAAGGTGCATATGGTGGAAGCAGTAAGGTGCAGTGTGTTACGAGCTGTTAAAACCGAATGAAACTTTTATTGCAGATGTCGAGTGATGTCAGTTGAACAAATTGTACGGTGTATTGGTGCAGTTAACAGACGCAAAGTCATCTTCTTGCGCCAAGCCATACGTTGCAAGACTTGCCAAGGATACACTGTTGCAATCCGAAAGGAAAGTTCTGTCCCTCCCAGCGTGCTTGCCAAACATAGCATCTTCTGATTACCCGTTGTTCAGATCGATGCAGAATGGCTTGGCTAGCATAGGGTTACGAAATGCTGAAGAAGTCCCAAATCGATTTCGTTTCTTCGCTACGTTATAACGATGTTGCCATTAAGATAGGAAAATGTTGCAGGAAATGGTGGAAAATATTCTGATTAATACGTGTTGTGCAAACTTTTCTCAATAAATATATATAGATATATATATATATATATATATATCTGTTGTATATACGCTGTTGTTTGCTCCATATATCGTAACACGGTTGACAGGATTGACACAATTTCGACTCACTATCCGGAAATCACGGGTCTGCAAACAATGTTACCATATATTTGTTAGGCCGAAGACTTATTGAGTAGCATGTTATTTCCTAAAAATTCTTTTATCAATATCCTTTTTCTAATATCCCTTTATTTTATGGCACCAGCATATCAAAGCATCGAAAATAATTGTTTGCTTTTCCTAACATTTTGCCATTTGCGTCATTAGTATGATTAGGGATATGATACTCGTCCTACATCTATTCACTGTATCAAATATGTGCTTTCCATAACAATGTTTAGCTTATTTGCCGCTGAATATGTTACTCAACGGAAATTTTATCGTCGAGCAACTTTTCACTCGACAATAACGAAAATAAGTATTTTATCGGCTGCTGTCAACTCATTGCTTGCTGATCAACAGCTATAAACCCAAACACAAGTATTACAATCTAGCTTACCCAAGATCGTAAATCATGTGACTCCTGTTTAAACAGAAATGAATGAATCTCGAGCAAAAATATTTTCTTTATACTCGAGTTCATTTTTACTGATAGGTTAGGTAACATATATTCTTTGAAATTTGTTTGCAACAATAACTTTAACCTTTAAAAAAGCAAATTCTATTTTTAGTCTACAAGATTAAAGCAAATCTTAAAGCTGATCACCGTCAACTTTAACTTTATTGAAGGCTTCAGCTTAAAGATCAACTGTAATCAAAGATAAAAAAAAAATATATGATATCCCAAAACTCCGTGGCTCCTTCGCGTTAGTAATTTTAGATAAATTTTCATGCTAACGGAAATGCAACTCTGGCTAAAGGGTAATAATCAACTCTGATCGAATGTAATGAAAACCATTTTAAATCTAGTTTTTCATTATTTACAAAAATATCTAAAATTTTAATAGCCGATCTTAGTATTACTGAAATGTGAAATAGAAATGTGTAATTCAATGAAAAAAAATCGTCCTTCAAGGATAAAGTTCCAAATATAAACAATTACCCAAAAACGAAGTGATTGCGTCTCATGCCGCGAGTTTCGCATAACGTTTGTGATACCCCAGAACTCCGTGGCTTCTTCGCTTCATTCATTTTAGATAAATTTTCATCCTAACAAAAATGCAACTCTGGAAAAACGTTAAAAATCAACTCTGATCGAATGTAATGAAAACGATTCTAAATCTAGTTTTTCATTATTTACATAAAAATATCTAAAGTTTCTGTTAATAGTCGATGCTAGTATTGCTGCTAATTACGATAATTATTGTTTCCAAATGATTTTTAACTAAACAAGTCTGTGTTTGTATTGATTTTGCAAAATTCATGAATTATGTGCAAATATTGCAAAACGGAATGAAAACATAAATGAAAACAATAGAACTGTGAAATTCAACAATGAAAAAAAAAAAAAACTATATCCAACGATCTTTTTCTGTTCCGGTAGCTTAAATAAATACAAATAAATGCGTGCATATATATAAAGAAAATATTTTTGCTTGAGCAAGTGTTTCTTTCTAAAATGCGACAATGTTGATTTATGATAAAATTTTCTAAATAAAAATTTAATTTTTTTTTTTTTAAATTTTATTAATTTGCTCCAATATAATAAATTTATTTATTAATAAAATAAACAATAAATCATCTTTTTTGAACACTTATTGATTAAATTTATGTGACAACTGATAATAAATATCAAAATGCATCAAACTAAGGTGACCCGGTGATTATTTGCCGTCAGGCAAGCAGCACGCATTGAAATTGTGAGTTTTGTTTTAAGAGCCATTGCTCAACCGCTTGCCATAATTCATTATCTTTATGTCTTCGATTTCGAAGGTTTCCTTCCTTTAAAGTACGATTTCTTCCGATTTTCTTTCAAGCCGTACAAATATATCCAAATAAAGCCACCGTCAATCCGCTTAATTAAACGCATTCGTAACGTGATCTTCTTCAGGAAGCTTTTGAACTTGATTTACAACAAAATCGTGGTTCCCGGCGCAAAAAGCAGTCCAAAGATCACGCAGGATGTAGTAAGCTTGATGAAGAATGTAGGTTTTTATTGAAAAATTGTACATTTTTTATCAAACGGTACAAGTTTTATTTCCTCTAGATAATCATAATAAGTTAGGTCAACTTTTGCGAAACATCCGCAATATATGAAATGTGTTACAGTGATCGTTTCCGGAGACGTAACTAAACACACAATTACTCTCCAGATCGCTGTTTCCGGGATATTTTCATAAGGCCTTTCTTGGCCCAATGCGAAAATAAATTACATTGAACCACTTTGATGACTATTTCTCATAACAAACCGTATTTAGAAAAAGTGGCTGTACGAAGAAAATTTACGAATTTTATTATTTCCATATAAAAAAAATGAGTAGTATTGTGGCGCATGTGCAAAAGACCCAGTCGACTTTTGTACTTCCTCCCAAATAAAAGGTTCTTACAAAAAATGTTTTCTGAAAATTGAGGGAAAATATTGATTTGACTTATACAATAAAAAAATTTGGACTACGTATGCCCAGTTTTCAGATCCGTCTTAACATAAAAATTCTCATAAAAAGCGAATCAATTTATGTAATATAAAAACAAGTGAGGGTGTTATGATCATTACATATTCGCACATAACGCCAATCATTACATATTCTACGCCACTTTGCCTAGAACAGTCAGTCGCTCGTTTTGGTAGTAATACGCCAAACAGTACACGCTATTTCCAAGCGAAGCCACAGCTTTTACGAAAGCCCGCATGTGAGAGCTACGTCTATATATATTAGGGTCAAAAAAAATAGATCTATGTGATCCAAACTCCCTACCGTTCATTTTTTTCCCCAAATAAAAATTAAGCCCTTCTTCTTCCGCATTCAATAGACTTTGTCCTCGGGTCAAAGTATGTCAGTATACGACATTTTATCAAAATATCTTAAAAATTACGACCTGGACAGACCTCAGACGGACAGACAAGTTTTGACCCAGAATCAGAATCATTTACTGAGTCAATCGCTATAATGAAGGGTGAGTCTATCTAAAAGCCCTTTTGCGTGCTAAATACGTCCGCATTACTTAATATACCCTGTACCCCAGGTGGTGTAGGGTATAACAAGGTATCATTTTTAATGTTTTTACTTGAAAGCCGGCCTTGCCCGAGCGCTTCATTTTTATACCCTACACTACTTGTGGTACAAGGGTGCATTAAATTGGTGCGGATATGTGCAACACGCAGAAGGATTTAAGATAGGCGTACCTTTTATTATACCAAACGATTCAGAGTCGATCTAAATGCATCTCTGCCTGTCTGTCTGTCAACCCTGTTTCCTTGGGTTCAATCTACAGGCCGCAATTTTTGATATATGGTAACGAAATTTGGTACGATTACGCTTTCTGACCCAAGGACGTACGCTATTGAAAATGGTTGGGATTGAACGATTTTTTGGGTTATTTCCCATACAAAGTCTTACTTTGAATGATCATTATATGAATAACCGTAGGATGGTTAGAGTATTGAGTAACTCAACGTGTAGGTCAACGTGCACTATGACTACAAAAAACTTTCAAACAGAACTTCATGAAGAGTTCACTTTTGGGTAAGTGATATCTGCGCAATATTTTCTATTGTGTTGCAGTTCTCGTTGAACCAATTAGAAGCAATTCGAAATTGTTTACTTGAACTTGGAAATGCCAGTGAGGCGGAACTATAAACTTTCTCTGATTGCGTTCTCGCTTTTTATACGTTTTTTATACGTCCATCGTTAAAGCTCTTTAGATATGATGGAAAGTGTTTCGCAAACGTTAAACGAACTTGATTAGTTAAGAAGTAAAATTCATAAGTAATTAGCGGCCGATATTCTTCTTCCTCTTCTTCTTCTTCTTCTTACTTTTTCTTATATTCTTTTCTTTCTTATTTCCCTTTTCAGGAACGTATTGTTATGTTGTTGCTAAATAAACAAGAATTACTTGAAAAGTTGAAATGCCTGTCATTACTTCAATTGTAGTTAATTTCATTAAAACGTACGCAACAATTAAAATCGCATCATCAACATTTTTAATGCGATTTAAAACCAGACACAGAAAAATAGCGAACAATACAGACAATGTTCGCTTTTAATATCATATATAACGTTTGTGACATTGACCTCTTTGTTGTTGTTGTTGTTGTTGCTGTTTTTGTTCTATGTTATGTTTTTTTTTTTTCATTTATATTTAATTCATTTTTTTTCTTTGTATAATATTTTATTTTATTTAATTTTTTATTTTTAATTTATTTTCATGTTTTCTCTTCATTTCGTTTAACTAATTACCACTACTCTCCTGGGAAATAAACGCATATGATTTACTTTGCGCTACAATACTGGTCATATGTATATTTATATATTAATATGTACATATATATACATATATATATATATGTATATCGATACATATATGCGCTCTATATACAGGCGCTTATGGTACAGTATATCGTGCCAGAGATAATCATAGTGGGAAAATTGTCGCTATCAAAAAGATCCGCATACCTTTGACAGATAACGGTGTACCTATGTCAACACTACGTGAGATTGCTTTACTAAATCAATTGAATTCATCAGATCATCCAAACATTGTTAAGTAAGTACTCAGCTAAGTATTTTCTATATACGTTTGTTTATTTAACCTTTTAATTGCGCGTAACGGAAATGCTGCTTAACCTCTTCACTGCGGATAACGGAAATAATATGTTATCTCATCTACTTGTACTAATCGAATTCTTAATGAAATGGTTTACTTTAACTAGCAGAGAGGTGAGAAGTTGCAGAAATGGAGAAATAAATGTGAAAATATGAGCAGACTTCATTCGGTAGACTATAGACTGCTGCCCTAATTTGATTCAAACTGGCTTGTAACTTTGTCGAAGTGTTATGTAAAGCCAAGTGTTAATGATGAAACAATTGCATTGACGATAGCCTCAATATTGCAATTGCAAGCAGTTTGATTGCAATTCGTTTTCAATATACCAGCAAAGGCTACTATCGCTTAGTTTATTCAAAAAAAAAAAAAAAAAATCTCTTATTAAATTTCATTAGCCATAGGGGAACCGTGCCATTCAATTGACTAGTGCTCAAGAAGTAGATTCAAGGTCGCCTTAAAAAGAGTTTAAAAAATCGTCAAATTTCAATCTTGATGATGATCCTTTAAGTGTGAAAAAAGGTGTGTTCTAGCTAAAAACAACTCTGAAAACAATGATTAGGCGCATAACGAACTTTTTCCGCCTTTTCTAAAAGCATTACTATGCTGGAGTGTACTAAATGCCAAGAAAAAGTTGGCATTTAACTGACTATAAACTAGAAACATTTTTAAGTCAATGATAAACTCGGACATAGTGTAAGATTTCCTTGGTTAAATGTGTTTCCACATTCAAGGTGACCAGTTGTTTTCTACGACTATGTAAAGGACACTTATGACAAGAATTACGAATATTCAACTCTGGCCCCTGGACTCTTTGCAACATTTAGCTAGAAGTTTCACATACTTAGATTATCCAGTTGACAACACAACACCCAATAAGGTCATAGAATAACATAATGAGATGTCACCACTATTGACGAATCCCTATGATTTTGAGACAGTATCCGTCTTCAAAAGTTCATTATATTAGCTTACAAGTTACATTTGTTTTTGTGAAACAATCAAAAAATCTGAATTTCGTGTATGTTCTAACGGATGTCACTCCAAACAGGTTGACATTATAAATCGTATTGATTCATCACTAATGATCCTACGAACTTATTGAGTGACGCTTCACATTTAAACAATGTCTACTCTTCGCTTTAACATTACACATATCCCGCTAACTACTTGTAAACAGGGTTGTTAAACGGCATCATCGGACAAGTGTATCGATTACGACCTTCCACTTTTAATTTATAATAAGAATTTATTACATGTAAATAATACTCAATATAATATATTATAAAAAAGATTATTAAATGGAATACGATAGGATCGAGTTAATGGAAAATGCACAATTTCGATTTTACTATGTGGAAACATGCATCACAGATCTTATGAAAAATAGTTATTTTCGATCTATAGAAAATTCCAAATCAAAGCAGCTTCGTCCGGCTGTCGGTCCTTTGTCTTGTTGAGTAGCACAGGTTCCAAATATTAAAGTAAAAAATTGAAAGTTGACACAAGTCCTTAACACTAATGGACACAAATTCATACAATTTGGACAGAGCCGACTAGTAACTACCTTATACTACTTTGCTTAATACAATTCTTCGCCTTTTTTCGATGTACACTACCGAAAAGCTTACTCGTGAGGAGAGTTCTGAAAACTTATTTTCTTAAATTAATTTGGCAGATTGTCTTGTAGAAAATTATGGTTTGAAGGAAAATTTGTACAGAGTAGGAGAGATTCAAAAAGTGGCCCCATTCCTCTCAACATGCCACATTTATTTACTGCCCCACAAAACTATTTTTCAATTTTTGTTGAGAAATATTCAAAATTGACGGTTTGTTGCACGCAACGACCCCTTAAGAACAGGTCTTTGGGAATGAGAATTGTTCAATGCAATCCATTTTCAACAACTTGCGTCCTTGTCAGTGTATCAAGCTGCATCATAATACATTGTACACAATGTGTACATTGAACACAAGTACACAGAAGCGGATATCCAGCGGAAGGACAGACACATTTGCCTATCATGTACCTATTCAGACAATGATTCTGAACCCGTTAACTTAATGAAAGGTAGACCTACTTTAAGCCCTCCTAGGTATTGCATATATCCGCAACAGCTTAATACATACCTAAAACCCCAAGTGCTCTGTTGAACAAGTTTGATAAAAATGAAGAAGAAGAAAAAAATTTATTTATAAAAGAGCTTACAACACATAAAATCCCTATTAATTCCACTATATAGCTATAGATAAAATTTCTTGAAAATTTTTAAGTTTGGAGTCTGATGGCTCGGTTTGAAAGTCTTGTTACGATCGCCCAACTGGCGCCGATGGGTCCAGAATAAGCAGATTAGCTCCAACATAATCGATATTTAATATTTATCTCACGGACATGTTGGTTCGGCATCTATACTGCCACTTACGACAGTTACACAGAAATCGAAGGCATCTAAAATTTCCATCGATTACACGATCCTTTATATCCTTTTTGGATCCTTAATAAACGAGTGTATTAAATAATCGCTAAATTGTTTCGTTCGTTCGAGTCGTATTTAAGAAAGATTTGCTTTCGCTTAAATTTTCAATCAGTGGTCGGACGGTTTAGGTTTATTACATGACCCTCTAACCTAACTCATCACCTTACGGCATTGAAATTAACAATGGGAACCAGAGCACACATGCAAGATAATTGAAATCATTGTTATTATATAAGTGTGTAAGTGTGTTCGTAAACATGTTTGCATTTCCATGATAATGAGAATGAATCATTGCTTTGTCGTTTGGGGCGAGCCGGCACTAGTGTCGGCAAGCAGCCAAGTGCAAATTTTCAATTGTTGGATTGCACGCATGCCCAGACGCCTTAACGCCAACATTAACTGTAAATAATACAATTGCACAAAACGCTAAAGACCACAACAAACATTGTAATAATAACAAAAACACCGGCAGATCAACGAAAAAAAAAAAAAACGTAAAAAGAAACAAAAAAACTTTGTAGCGTTAATAATCTTACAATGAATGATACAAAGATTTAAAGAGGAATTATTGGTGGTTGGTCGTCGTTGTGATGTTGTGTTGTGTTATTGTCATATGAAATTTTACTTAATTAGGAAGGCACAAGCACTGATTGATTGACTGACTGACTGACTGACTGACTGACTGACTGACTGACTAACTGATTGAATGACTGACTGACTAACTGACTCTTTTTAAATGTCTGCGTCATCATAACAGCCGTTAATCATCGGCATGATATTCCCACATAGTTATTTAACACATATATATATATATATATATATATATATATATTCATGCATGTGTGTACGTGTTTGTGGGTTTTTTTTTTTTTCTTTTTAAATGTTCTCCGTTGTTGAGGAACTTCTTCTTCGAGGTCAAATGGGTTTGTGTTGCTCTTTATATGTTTATATATATATATATATATATATATATATATATATG